GGATCCGTGCGAGGCTTTCGGCTGTGCTCGCGTGGAGTGATGCTTCTCCTCTCCTGCCTACTGCATTAATCCTCTCTGCCTCAGAGAGATGCTCACGTTCTTTTATATCCTTAGGCTGAAGCTTTAATAGGACCCAGCTGTTTCAAGACCGTGCAACAGAAATAACCCTGCTGCAGCTACAGGTCCCACTGCCGGGAAAGGCTTACGGACTCGGGCAGCAGGGAGGGCAAAGGCCGGTGGGGATGACAGAGGATTACAGCAACAAGTGGCTTCCTGGATTAGCGGGGCTCTCCCCAGGGAGAGGCTAGTGTCCAGTATCAGAGGCCCGTGGGACAGGCAGTGCTGCAGGAGAAGCCTGGGGAAGGTGCACACTTCCTTCCCCAAGACAGAATAACACTTTCGTGGCATCCAGGCAACCCGGAGGCAGCCACAGCAGTGAGGAGCTTCAGACAGTAACAGGTTTTGGATGGGACAGGGACAAAAGGGGACAGATGACAGCAGCTGGAGAGAGAGGTGTGAATGCAAGACCCCAGTGCCTGCTCAGTGCCTGCCAACCTGTCCCTGCTCCCTTTCCGCCAGGCCCCCGCTCGGCACAGCTCTGCTCCCTTGCTGTGCAGGGTTTAGGCAGGTCTGTGAGGACACCGCAGCCAGGCAGGGCTGGGCGAGATGCTCCCATCCCACGGCCTGCGTGGCAGCCTGCACAGCTGGTGCAGGGCAGCAGGAAACAGGGCGCGGGCAGCAGAAGCCGACGTGTGAGGGCAGAACCGCAGCCCTGCTGGCTCCTGGCTGGGCAGAGAGGTGCTGCTCTGCTGGAGCTGCCCAGCCTCCCCCAGGTGACGGCCTCCCCTGGCCCCAACGTCCCCCAGCCTTCAGGGCCGAGTGCGGGGCACCGGCAGACGTGCCGGAGCTGGAAGCCTTTGCAGGTCTTGGCTCTTTGCTCACCGAGCTCAGCTCCTCACAGGACCCACGGCGTTAAGAGCTCTGCTCTCTCTTGCTGGAGGATGTTGGTCCTCTGGCCTTTCAGGACCCCTGCGCTCACTCTGCAGGGGGTGCTGAGCGTTGGCTTCAACCATTTCACTGCCTGAGACCAAACACAGCAGTGGAGGGTAGGACAGCACCTACGAACAGTGGGACAAGGCCTGTACAAGTCCACAGTCTAGGGTCGGAGACAACTGTGCTAGACACTGTTCCTAAGTACTAGAGAATCAGGGCAGCATCCCTTTTCTGTCAAATAGAGACTGATGCCAATAGGATTTCATTGCTCTGCACTTCTGCACATACTTCTCTGGCTTTATCTGGGACTGAAAATAGCATAACTGCCAGTGGAGCAGAGATCCAAACCATCCTAAAACCACTAGAGAAAGCAAGATGCACAACACGTTCTTTTCAATCTCAGTCATGCACAGACCCTACAAGGAGGCCTGTCCCTCTGAGGCCGGAGTCAGGCCGTTTGACTGCCTTTCTAAGGGAACTAGCTAATACCGACATCAGGATGGTTTCCAAGTGAGTGGTCACTGGAGCAGCGCTTTCCATCCCCAAGCAGCTGCAGTGGGAGTTGCTCTGTGACCCGGAACAGCACGATGGAGGCCAGGACATTGCGTCTCCAAAACGGTATTTGCAGACTTTGTTATTGCAACTAGAACTTTCAATTTCCCACAGAATAATCAATCTAACACCACCTAAAGATGAAACTACACAAACCAAGACAGCATTAACCCGTAAATGTACAGACAGTACAGTTGACTCTTGCTCTGCCAATCACAAATCCCATCAGTAATTTCTGACACACATGTTGTCTTCCAGATGCCAACAGTTGAGGCACCCCTTGTTGTCAATGTAATGTGCAAGCTGTAAGGTGCTGCAAATTACATTTAATTTAATACCAGTTGTGGTAACACAAAGGCTGTTTCCCTGGCTAGATTTCTTATTTTTATGGTTTCAAGGAGCTCTAGCAGAACCCACTTTGCCTGAGCAGCTCAGTTTGGCAGTTCGGTGTGGCTTAGGTAAAATTCCTCCGTAAAGGTCAAAATTTCCAACTCCTTCACTTCCTGCATGAATGAAATTCATCTATGAGCCTCTTGAAGGCAAGGAAACAAAACAGTGTGTTTCTCATGGTCCTCCCCAACCCTCTCTGAAGCACAGAAATGATGAACAGGGTTGCTGCTGGTCCTCTACTGAAGGCCTATCTTAGCCTTCCTGGTGCTCGGGAAGGGGGAGACGGAAGCGAGGCAAAGAGTTTGTGGCATCTCTGCTCACTGAGCAGGACTGAGTCCCATGCTGCTCAGGAGGAGGAGATTGATGGGGGCAAGGGCATGGAGAGATTGCAGAGTCAACGTTGCTCACCCATGTCGAGCTTGCAAGACCTCCAAAAGTGATGCAGGGATTGTTAGGGTAATAATGCTTTGTGTGTGCAGCCACTGTGTTTGAAGACTTTGACAGTAGGTAAAGGGTGGAAAAAAGTAAGTGGGTGGAAATGACTTGATTCCAACTTCCACTTCTTTGCTGCCCCGGTTCCCACATCCTTGTAACTTCCTGAAACATGTTCTTTAAAATGTATTTTAGACCCAGTGCAGAACGGATATTGAAATGCACAGCAAACCGCTTCCGTTCGATTTCCAGAGAATGAAAAGGGCAGATCACCACGCCAAAGTACAGAGACTTTGTTAAGAATAAAGCCTGCTTCTGCAAGAGATGCCCATTAAAGCTCTGACTGAGAGCGGCTAAAAGATCATGTTTGTGTGTGTGAAACTCTTGCAGCATGTACATGCGTGCGGAAAGTCAAGCTGCAGTTGTGCCCAAAGCAGCAGTGTCGCAGCTGGGGCCTCCGTTCCCCTCTCCTCTCTTGCTGCTGCTCTCCCCACTGTCCTCCCAGCCGTGCAGCTGCCTCGCCAACTCCGCTGGGCACAATAACCTGCTGGCCCAGCCCTGTTCACCTCTGTTCCTTGCCATCAGGGAAAGAAGGGCTCCAAAGCAAAGATGCTAGATACTAGTGTGCATCATATGTCCTTCTTTTTCACTATTTTTACCCCTCTTTTCACTATTTTATCTCTCACCCCCAGCCCTTTTCTTCCCCTGTGGAGAAGTTTGTCATTTTTCTTAAAAACCAAACAAATAAATAATAACAAAAACAACAAACAGAAAACACAGCTATGACAAAACCAGTATCAATAGGATCCTTGTGGGGACAGCCTAAAGCAAAAATCACGCTCCTTCTGCAAACTCAGAGTAATTGGATCACAGCATTAATTAATCATTTCAGTTCATCTCTCTTCTGTGAGAGAAAACAGACAGGCCAAGTGATAGGGCCAGGGCCCCTCGTGTGAGCAACCGAGCCGCTCCTGCGGGTCCCTTCGTCCTTCCCGCTCCTGCCTGGCTGCCCGCGCACCGGCTCGCTCCTCGTCCCGCACTGCCCAGCACACCGGCCACATTCCTGCTGGGCTCGCAGGGCAGGAATTCCCCCTGCACAACCCCCTCACTCGTATCTACCCCCATGGCCCTTTCTCCTCCCCGTGGGAGAAGCCCTAGGGCTCTGGCCGCCAGTATCGCTGAGTGGTGAACATGGACTACATCGCTGTCTCTTACAAGAACTTTGTGGGTGAAAATATCCACTCAAGATTCACTGCATTTTGTTGGGACACATATGGGGCCGCAGCCCAGGCTGCAGAGCCACAGCAGGAGCTCCAGTCATGGCCAGTCAGTGCACTGGAAAGCAGGAGGCGATGCCCAGCAGCAGTGACAGCTAAGAGCATCTAGCTGTTGCCTCAGGTTTAAACATGAGCATCATCAGTGATAAGGTGAAAGCCTGAGCAGCCCTTCCCTCACTCCCCTCCTTCTGCCAGTGGAAACAGGAGAACCCGAGTCATTCAAGGGGGTCACTCTGGGCATGAGACAAACCGGGGAGCCTCTAAATGTCTAACCAGAACTGCCACTGTTGCGAGTGGCCAGCAGGGCGTAAGGGACGTTGGCTGTTGCTTTTCTCAGGCAGGAAAGTAACTGCCTAGGCATGGTGTTTGCAAAGAACAGCTAGGAGAGGTGGCCACGACAGAGCATGCAATAAAGCAGGCAGCAAGAGAAACCAACATCTCTCTGATTAAAAAAAAAAAAAAAAAAAAAAAAAAAAAAAAAAAAAGAGAGAGAGAGAGAGAAGAAGGAATGGCACGAACTCTTCCTTGACTTGAGGCCAATGTCATTATTTTGGGAGCAGGGAGGGTGGGGCTGCCTGGTTCTCCCGGCCATGGCCAGCAGCAGCAGAGACGAGGGCAAGCATGGGCTGCACAGCCCGGGGCCAGGGGGCAAAATCCCCTTCCTTTGCATGCCCAACCTGGCAAGGTCTCTGCAGAGAGGCTGGATGGCTTCTGATCTGTAGTCTCTTAAAGTCCTGGGAGATGTCCACAAGGCTTTCGTCCTCGGTAGGGACAAAATATGCAAAACATAAGAGATATTTTCCCTGCTGCTGCTACTGTTGGAAAATAAAGCAAAGCAGAGAAAAACTGCAAGGAGCTTCCTGCCCAGAAAACAAATCTTTTTCCAAGAGAAGTGGCTGGGGAGCAAGTAGTCCTCACATTAGGCACCTCGCTGCGAGGGATGCCTGCCTCACTTGGGCACAGGTTGCCCGTGTTCCCCTCAGGCTCTTCTTTTCCAGTGCAACAGGGCCCGTTCCAAGGAGATCAGAGGGACCCGAGGAGCCTTGGACTGGGGATCCCAGGCGGTGCTCCCGGTCTGAGTGGGAGCCGGGAAGCGGAGCTGTCAGACCGCGTGCCAGGGCCACGGCAGGGCTGCCGCCTCCCCTCCAGCGCGGGGCAACGAACCGGGGGCAGCACCCGGGGCTGCAGGAAAGTTGGCACGGAGACACCCTCCCTCCCTCCTTCCCTGCCTCGCTCCCACCCCGCCGCACTCCAGGACGGCCGGGATGCTCCACGGCCGGGGAAGCCCCCCCACACCCCGACACAGGCAAGGCGCCCCCCGCCCGCCCCGCCGGGGCTCCCGCGCCCGCGACTCACCGGGCAGCCCCCAGGGCGCGGGCGCCGCGGCCGAGCGGTTC